TGTCAAAAAAGCTCAAGAAGCAGAGTTCCAGATGTCAAAATAAGACTTTATTGAACACTGCAACAAAGCCGAGATGACAGCCGCTGCATCGGAGTCTTTGTCTGTCAGCTCATCCGTTTTATACCTTTTTCTCTTACCAAAGTTGGTAGTTCCGGTTTTTATTATGGCTATGCCTATCTGGTTTGCCACAATTTCTAATCAGTGGAATTTGGCCAGATCAGCCACTTTTACTCCCATGGCCATTTTTATTAATGGTGGAATTTGGCCAGATCAGCCACCTTCATTCTGCTGCCAATAAGGTGGTCACATGAGACATTCATCAAATCTGTTTACTTGTTCCTGTCAACTTCTGGGAATAACCCAGATAAATGTCATATAGTTATAATCTAATTGTTTGCATGTTTTTTTTAATTAATTTTTTTTTTTCTTTTTTCTGTTTTTGTTTCTTCCCAGGCACTTATGTGCACCCCTGGTAATGCATCCTGTTGCTGTTGTTTTTTGTATCTACAGATATTCCACTATACAGTAAAAATGTCATATAGTCTCATATCCCGAAACAATTATAATTTAATTGTTTGCATGTTTTTAAGTTTTTTTTTTCTGTTTTTTTTTCTTCCCAGGCACATTGCTCTCAGACTGGGACCTTCATTATCAGGTAATTTATGAGTGGGAATGAATGGGTGATTCTTACAGTGTTTATATGGGGCTTAACTCCCGTGGGAAGGTGAAAATATGTTGTGGCCACAAGATCATTTCGTCGAGAAAAGGAATCCTTCTCTCTTGGCCACGAGTTTAATGTGCAAACAAATCTGCGTGACCATAGCAGAAAGAAAGCTGTTTTGTTCACAACTATTGTCGTGGGCCCTCCAGGAAAAGGATTATTACACAACCTAAAGGTCAATTAATCTTACTGTGGAAGTGATGTGGCTATTCGGACAAAACAAGACCAGTTTCTGGGCAAGCTACTCAAGTTTCAGAGAAAATAGCTAATTCAACTAGAAGCTACAAGTTTGCTATATTTAAGCTATTTTTAAGCTGTAATTAGACTGATTACACGATTGTCCAACACATTCAACTCATCTTATATTAACACACTCTCAGAATCCCTTGTGGTCACTTTTTAACACACACTATACCCCTTTAGCACCATTTTTCAACATACAGGGAACTCCATTGCTTTCAGTGAGAAACCTTTGATGTCATACACAGACGATGAAATTATATGTTGGGGTGTGATTTTCAATTTAATCAGCCAGTATAATTTTATTTACATTTACTTATTTTAATTGACACTATTTAGACATGTTTGAGCATGTAACCGAACTCCACCCCTAAACCGACCCATTTGCATGTTATATAATATAAAACACAAGACATAAGAGGTAGATATGACTACAGACACACAAATATTCCAAATGTTCTGAGGCCAAGCAATTGATTTGTGTGAGGAACACTGTCTTCATCCACCATAAAGTTCAGATCCTGTGCACACATTAAAAAATTGCTGCACCAGAAGTGTTGTCAGCAAATAAACTGCACAAGCTCTGATGACGACACAGCGGTTTCACAATGTTTTTAATTGCAATTTTAACAAACAAAGGATACAATAACAGACAGCCTTTTAAACAATAAACAAGTTACAGAATGATAGTTCGCCAGAAAAATTATATGAAAGTAATTAACTTAAAGAAAATATTTCCTAAGAAATGGAAGAGAAAAAAAGAGAAAGCACATAAATGAAAATGAAAGCATAATCGGAAAAAATATTAAACATGGCACAAATTCTAGATGTTTTTTTTTATATATCACTTGTTATTTATTAGTTTAACATTGTAGTTAAATACAAATTCAGTTGTTGTTTGAAGATATTAAAGAGGGGGGTTACTTTTTGTGTATTTACATTCATGACACTCCCAAAACAAATGACCTACAGTTTCAGATAAAACCTCACAAAAAGAGCAGGATCTGAATTTCAGACAACAGATATCTTTGAGCCCCTATTATTGTTCCTGAAGACCATACACATTTCCAAAGAGATGGCCTTGAAAACTATAATAAATTCTTTCCTAGATACTGGAAATTATCTCAAAACAAAATCAGAGTAGATGAATAAATTACCATCATCAAGCAGCTGTTTCAGTAACATTACTTAATTGCTGAGCCAGTTTTAAAGAAATGTCTCCGGTTACGACTGTAAGCATGGTTCCATGAGAAGGGGAATGAGACACTCCATCTTGGATTGACAGTATGGGGAAACCCATCAGCATGACCGGTGTCTGAAGCATGTGTGAACTCGCTTCAATTTCATTGGCTGGCGACAGTGCGTGATGTCATTAGTGGAGTGCCCGGAAGTACAAGAGGGTGCCCGTAATACACCTCTTCAACTTTTTTTGTCTGAAGGAGACATGCAGGCATGCCCAATGGCCTAGCAATGAGACACGGTGTCTCGTTCCCATTCTCTGGGAACCATGGTTACAGTTGTAACCTGAGAAACTCCCTTTCGAAGTGGAACTCAACACTGTATCTTGGATTGATGCTATGGGGAAAAAAACCCCACTCCGCTATGCCGCAGGATTGCCTGCCACACTAAGTTAGAAACATGCACAAACACAGTGAGCATAGCATACATTTACTCAACACCCTTATCTACCATGAATATAGAAGATATTCTGGCTCCTATGCCTTGAAAGCAAGGAAAGTCCCAGACTCTAGAATCTTCCTCCCTCCCTTGCGGGCTACCACAGTCCTAAAGGTGAGGCTTTATGGAAAAAGTGGGTAAGCTGTAAGAGTGTGCTTTCACTCATGGAATGCCTGCCACAGGGAGAAAAATTTCACAATTGACTTGATTTCTCATACAAAAAGCTGACCCATGAACATTTAAAGACATACACAAATTAAAAAAAGACAACATGTAAACCTCAAAAACCTATTAAATCTCAAATATATAGATATAAAACCATCATAATATATATTGAGCGGTATAAAACATGTGTCCTGTGTGACAGTGTCACAAGCTAAAAGGGGCAGCTTGCCAAAGGGAGCCTGCAAAAAAGCCCTGAGCGGCTACCGGCTCTGATGATGCTGCCTCCCCAAGGGGAAATCTTAGCACAAGAGAGGCTCAACTCCAAAGGAAGCCACAGGAGGGCTAACCTTACTTAAGACCCTTAAGTCTGGGGGAGGCAGCCCGAACACTGCTTTTTTTTTTTTTTTTTTCCTGATTTAGAAAGGGGAGTAGGAGACCCTCTTTCTTTTGACCCGTTCCTCGAAAACCCTGAGGAAGCATGTAAAAATGGATGCTTTTATGTCTGCACTCTCACCTCCAGCTTACAGTACTGGAGGGGGGGAACCTAGAAAGTGGTTAGACAATGTACTCGGTTACTTACGTAACCTCGGTTCTCCAAATACTGAAGCCTTTTAAAATAACGCAGTGTAACTGCACGGCCATTGGCTCGTGCAGTGAATTAAAAACAAACCAATGGCGACAAAGCCCGGCAGAATGGGCGGGGCATCTGGCTATATAAGCGGACACTTCGCCATAGGATCCTCAGGTTACTTCGACTGAAGCGACGACCGAGTCGTGCAGCTACATAGCACGGCCAGCAACGCAGTACTCGTTCCCGTGTCTCAGGGAACCGAGGATAAGTTAGTAACCGAGTACGTTCCCTATCAATACTCCACTCGTACTGCGTCTGCTAAGATGCTATGGGGAACCAGTACAGCACCGCCGTGCTATGCTAGAGGAATGACTAATACTTGAACTTGCCCTGAGCACCAATGGGGCCCAGAGGGACCAAGTATTTTGGAGGGAAGCCCCGCAGGAGGCAATAGGGCCAAACATTTCATTTGGAAAGTCTCTGCTTCGTGATCAGAGACCCTTTGGTGCGGTCACCGAAGCATACAAAATGCTGTTCCGACTGCCTGAACGGTGCAGGAACGCTCAATATATATAATTTCAATGCCCCGGGGGGCAGAGTAAATTCAGCTCTTAGTCCTGCTCCGAAGGAGGAAGCGGCGAAAGAGCTATTACCTGTGCTCTGAACTGAGTCGAGAGCACTTTAGGTACATAACCATGCGGCAAAAGAGCTATTACCTGTGCTCTGAACTGAGTCGAGAGCACTTTAGGTACATAACCATGCCTCGGCTTCAGGACGACCTTGGAGTCGTTGGGCCCGAATTCAAGACAGGTGGGGCTCACCGAGAGCGCCTGCAGATCTGCCATATGCTTTACCGATGCTAACGCGAGTAGCAGAGCAGTTTTTAGCACCAGGGGACGAAGGTCAATGGACTGTAGCGGCTCGAAGGGAGGGCTCTTCAGAGCCCTCAACACCGTTCTGCGCAAGGGGCCGTACACCAGGCGGAGAAGACAGACCATTTAAGGGCATAGTGCCGCCTCGTAGAGCTCTAGCCTGAGATATTGCATTTAGCCACGTTCTCGGGGAGGTCCACAGGCTCCCATCAAGAGGCCAGAGGTGCAGAGCCCACAGCTCGGGCTGGGGGTGCCATATCGTTCTGTTCGCCTGAGAGAGGAGGTCTCGTCTCAGGGGAATGGGCCACGGGGCTGCTGAGAGCAGCCGAGACAACTCTGCGAACCAGTGTTGGTCTGGCGGTTTATATATGACACCACTATCATGCTGTCTGAGCGGACTAGCGCGTGGTGTCCCCTTAGGTCTGGCAGAAAGGTGCGAAGGCCTAAACATACTGCCAGCATTTCCAGGCAGTTGATGTGAAGCCGACTCTCCTCTTTTAACCAATGGCCAAAAGCCGGTTTGCCATCGCACAGCGCTCCCCAACCCGTGTTGGAAGCGTCTGTCGAGACCACCTTCCTTCTGCAGACCATTCCCAGGG